CCCCCCCCGGGGGGGATAGCCATGCCGCAATCCCTTCTCCTCCATTCTCCTCTCGGGACCTTGGGCATGCACGCACACATGCTTGGTGTGAGTTTAAGCCACCGGGTCTAGGACTCAAACCGCAGTAGACTACATGGGAGTTCAGCGACATAGCCATTATGGCAACTGCCCCATTTGCCCATCTTTTAATTAGATTGAATTTTTTTTTTCAGATAAGCTACTTGAGTCTCCTGTATATTCTAGTTACCAATCGCTTATTTGTGACATAGTTTGCAAATATATCCTCCCACTCTGGAGGTTGTCTCCTCACTGTGATTATTGTTTCTTTGCTGTGCAGAAGCTTTATAGGCTGATGTAGTCCCACTTGTCTATTTCTGGGATTATTGCCTATGCTTTGGGTGTCTTATTTAAGAAATCTTTGCTTATTCTAATGTTGCCAAGAATTTCTCCTATGTTTTCCACTTGTAGTTTTATAGTTAGAGATCTTATGTTTAGATATTTGATCAATTTTGAGTTGATTTTTGTTACTAGTTAGAGACGGAGGTCCAGTTTCATTTTTGTGCAGGCAGATGTCCAGTTTTTCCAGCATTATTTGCTGAAGAGATTTTCTTTTACCCACTGGATTGTTTTGTGCCTTTTGTCAAAAATCAGTTGGCTGTATGTTTTGGAGTTTATTTCTGGTTCTATTCTATTCCATTGGTCTACTTGCCTGTTTTTGTGCCAATACCATGTTGTTTTTATTATCACAGCTTTATAATATATTTTGAGGTCAGGAAGTGAAATGACTCTTATCTTATTCTTTTTGCACATTATTGTTTTGGTGATACAGGGCCTTTAATGATTCCAGACAAGTTTTATGATTTTTTTTCTGTTGTGGTGAGGAATATCTTTGGTAGTTTACATTGAATTTGCAGATTAATTTGAGAAGGATTGACATTTTGATTATACTGATATTTCCAATCCCACCCATGGAATATCTTTCTCCTTTTTTTTATCATTTTCATTTTCTTTTTAAAGTTTTTAATACTTTTCCTAGTGTAGAGGTCTTTCACTTCTTTGGTTAGGTTTATTTCTAGGTATCTTATTATTATCATAACCATTATTATTTTGTGTCTATAAATACTAACTTCTTGACTCTCACAACCTTGTTTGCTTCTCTCTGTCTTCTCACCTAGCTTTTTTCTCTGGTTTTGATTTCCCTTTAGACTATGGATACCTTAGGGAGCAACTATGTCTGATTCATTGCTCTGTCTTTTTATGAATGAATGAATGATAAAATTTTATTCATTATAGTAGAATTGATTTTAAAAAATTGAGAAAACTGTAATTATTTTATAGTACTTCTTGAAAATCTTCTCGATCTAGTATTTGAGGCCTGGTTGAAGCTGTTGGCCCAGCTCTATAAAGTCAATTTAGGATGATATTATTCTTGTAAAAATATTGAGTCCCTGTTCTGTTCTAGACACTGCCACTGGTATCCTGGAAACTGAATTAATTGCATGTAAGGATCAAGAGCCCTCAGTATGTCCTGGTTCCTGAAGACATGCCATTTTAGTGATGGCTGCTTTGACATCCTTGTTTCTCAGTGTATAGATGAGAGGATTAAGAACAGGTGTAAGGATAGCAAACACCACATTGCCCATGATGTGGAAGTCCAAGGGCAGGTCAGCTCTGTAGGCCACGTAGGCTATGGCAATGGAGAAATAGTAGGTGCCCACCACCAGGAGGTGGGAACTGCAGGTGGAAAAGGCTTTTGAGCGACCTTCTCGGGAGCTGATGCGAAGCACTGAGGCCAGGATGTGGGCATAGGAGAGAAGGACCAGGAGGAGGGGCAGGAAGGATACCACCATGGCAATGCAGAAGCCCATGAATGTCTGGTGTGTGGTGTCTGAGCACGAAGCCTGGACCACAGCCAAGTGGTCACAGAAGCAGTGGTAGACCTGGGCCACAGGAACAAATGCCATCTGGGAAGTTTGTACCACTGCTGGGATGGGCAGGAGGAGGGCAGTGAACCAGGCACTGGCTGCCAGCGAAGCATTGGTTTGTGGGGTCATGAGGATAGGGTAGTGCAGTGGGCGGCAGATAGCCACATAGCGGTCATAGGCCATGACCACCAGGATGAAGGCTTCAGAGCAGTTGAGGCCATGGAAGAGGTACATCTGTAGGAAACAGGCAGGGAAGCTGAGGAAATGGTCTCCCAACAGAAATAGGGACAGCATCTTGGGGATGGTGGTTGTAGTGGAGAGGATGTCCAGGGCAGAGAGATTGATCAGGAAGAAGTACATGGGCTTGTGGAGGCTGGGCTCTGCCACCACAGCCATCAGAATAAGGGCATTACCCACCAGGATGAGCAGGTAGATTAAGACAAAAATCAAGAAGACAGGGAGGAAAAGAGACTCTGGCAGAGAGGGGATGCCCACCAGGTAGAAGACAGGTAAGGAGTCCTCTGATCCATTACAGGTTGTGCCTTCCATAGCGAGTCAGTTCTGAATATCAGCAGACAGATCCTGGGAAAATCAGGACACATCTGAAAATCAGAGCAATCAAAAAATCATTTACTAGAACATGCATCTTTTTCTTTTCAATCATGGATCTCCATCTCAACAGTTTGAAAGTTTTACATGAAGGATTTAAAAAAAAAAAAAAAGGTCTATCATACAATTAAGATATCTAGAATGATGACCAGATATCCAGAATGACAGCAATGACTGAAAGAGGTAGCCCTATTTTCTGGGGAAGAGAGATGAACACAAACACCTAAAGGGTTTGTTGAAGGGAAGAAATAGCACTTACAAATAACTGGGACCAACTTTTACCACTCTTATTCAACATCATACTAGAAGTCCTAGCTAAAGTCAAGAGAAAGAAATAAAAGAAATCCAAATTGTAAAGGAGCAGGTAAGATTTCCCCAGTACATAGATGATGTGATCTTATATTTATGAAATTAAAAATTCCACACACAACCAAAAAAATTCATTAAAGTTGCAGGATACAAAATCAGTGTACAAAAATTGTGGCATTTTTATACACCAATGACGAAATATTGGATTGTCTGGAAAGTCGTGACACATTTTTGCATAGAAAAGCATAGAGAAATATATCATGACTTTCTTGATGATCTAATAGATTTTAAAAAAGAAAAAAAAAAAAAAAGGGCTTCCAGCTCAACACCTAGTGAGAATCTATCTATGCCAGAGGTGGGCCCAGCCTTGCTCCTTTAACTGAAGTGCCTCTGCTCCAACCTCTCCTTTCAGCCCAACACATAGCAAGAATATATCCATGTCTGTGGTGGGCCTGGCCCTGCTCCTGTAACTAAAGAGCCTCTTCTCGAACCTCTCTTTCTAGCCCAACATCTAGTTAGGTAGGGTGGTTACTGTCTTCTTTCTGTCTCTGTCTCTCTCAAAATTTTCCTTTTTTTACATACATATTTTTTAAATCTGTAAGTACTGTTTCTTGCCTCTGACCTCTCCTTTATCTTGCTAACTTCTGAATCCATTTATCTACATCTGAGGTGGGCCTGGCCCTGATCTGTTCATGCAGTGCTGCACGATTTCCATTTTCTGTCTTTAAAAAAAAATTCCTTTCCCTTTTTACTGGTTGTTTTTGTCGTTTTTTGGTCTTTTTCCCTTTGTTTCCTTTTCTTTTACCTGACATTCTCAGTTTGCTTCTCAGCTTCCACATATTGAGTGTCTAGACAGGTCTAGGTGCACAGTAGCCAAAGATCTGAATACTTTTAGGGTCATAGAAAACCTCACCTCTCACTGAACTGCTACACAAAAGGAGAAACTTGTCTTCAAATATCTGAACTCAAATCTCTTTTTGTGGATACCACATTGCAAAACACAACAGTAGAGGAGTAATTGGCATAGAAGTACCTCATAGTAAAGTGAAGCATATGAGCTTACAGTTGTAGAAATCTCCAACAAATTAGCCAAATATCACTTTTAGTCACCAAATCACTAAAAGTCAGAGGAGAAACGGCAAAGTGAGCATCAGGGAGAAATATGGAGCTGCAGAGAGAACACGGCTCATCTCCTTCCATACACCTCTGAATTCTCCATTGAAACTCTGCAGCTTATACCAGGTACATCTGATCTCTAGCAACTGGGAGGCCTTTGTAATATCTAGTTCCATTGACAAAAGTGCAGTTTGCTTGGTGAACATCAGGGTAATGGAACTTCAGAGATATTGTGGGTCATTTCCTCCTTCATGCCTCTAATGCTCAGAATTAACTACAAGAAAGTAGGAAGAAACATTTGTTTCATCAGATGACCAGAAACCACTGCAGAGGCACAAGAAATATGAGAAACTAAGAAAATCTCTCTCCCCCAACAGAAAAGAACAACTCTTCATCATCCACAGACAGTACAATGGAACACATGGGAATGTCAGATAAAGAATTCAGAATTTTCATAGTGACAAAGCTAACAGAGATGTAAGACAAGAGAGACAACAAACTCCAGAAGATGCAGGAGAAAAGAGATAATGAGTTCCAGGAGGTGAGGAAGTTCTTGCATGATCTGAAAAAGGAAATATACACCATAAAATGAATCAAATGGAATTGTTAGAGATGAAGGCTATAATACAGAAAATCAAAACTTCCCTTGAAAGTATTAAAAGCAGATTAGATCATGCAGAAGATTGAATCTCAAATGTAGAAGACAGAACCTAGAAAAATTTACCCAAAATACTGAGAAAATAACCAAAAAAATCAAGAATAATATATGAGTAATTCAAGATACCATTAGATGCCCAAACATCCAGATAATCAGAATTCCAGAAGGTGAAGAAACTAATAGGGCATTGATAATCTATTCCACGAAATCCTGGAAGAACACTTTCCAAACCTAGAGAGATATTCGATATCCAGACCCAAGAAATACAGAGGACCCTTGGAACTAGCAGATGGCATAATGATTAAGCCACAGTAGCGAAACATCTGAATACTTTTAGGTTTATAGAAAACCTACATGGACTCACATGTAATTTACCATGATTCAAGTCCCAGACCTGGCAACTTAAAACTCACTTTGGGCACATGTGCATGGGTGCTCAACATCCCAAGAGGAGAACGAAGGAGAAGGGGTTGCAGCATGGTCATCCTCCCAGGGGGTGGTTTCTTGCTTTCTGTCTCTCTTTCTCTATGGCAAATGCACATGCCCTATAGCAAAAATCTGACTCTTAAAAAAAAAAAAAATACAAAGTATCCCATATAGAATCAACCCAAGAAGATCTTCTTCAAGGGGCATCATGCCCAGATTGACCAAAACCACAAAATTCGAAAGAGAGAAACCTCAAGTTACTTTCAAAGGATATCCCATCAGGCTAACGTCAGACCTCTCATTGGAAGCAATGCAAGCAAAGAAAGAAAGGGAAAATATGTTCAAAGTGTTAAGCGAAAAACAATTTCAACCAAAAATATTATACCCAGCAAGTTTATCCTTCATGTGGGAAGAATAGACAAAAACATTCTCAGATAAACAAAACCAGAAAGAATTTCCCAACACCAGACCAGCTCTTCAAGAAATTCTGAAGGGAGTGCTACACCAGGAAAACTAAAGACAAATAGAAATAAGAGAACAAAAAATGACTAAGAAAACGGCCAACTTGGGACCAGCAATTGGCATAATGACTATGTTGCTGGACTCCCATATAGTTGACTGCGGTTTGAGTCCTGGACCCGGTGGCTTAAACTCACGCCAGGTGCATGTGTGTATGTGCCCAAGATCCTGAGAGGAGAATGGGGGAGAAGGGATTGTGACATGGCCATCGCCCCCGGGGGGTGATTTCTCACTTTCTGTCTCTGTCTCTGTCTTTCTGGTGAGTACATGTGCCCTATTGCAAAAACCTCTACAAAGAAAGAAAAAAAATGTCCAGAAATATTAATAATAGTGTTGAATATTAACTTCCAGGATTTAAATGGAAATATTAGACCATAGTAACACTGCAAATTCAACAAAAGAGAGATTAATTACATGAGACTGAACTAGTGAAATAGAATTCTATGACTTTTGACTAAAACGTTACTGATTTTCTTCTATCCTTTGTCTTCCAGATTTAAGGTTTTTGTTTTCTTTTGAGTTGTTGATAGGTTCAGCAATTTGTTAATTTTTTTTAATTGAAGCATAAACTTTTTTCTCTTTCTGACTCCTCTGCAATTGGAGAATATTTGTGAGCATTCTTATTTTGTGGCAGAACAGTTATTTGCTTAAGTTCAATAATACAATAGTATCTGTTGCCTTGCATCAGAGACCGAATTCTTATGGGTCTGTGCAAATAACAAACCAAATTGAGACTAAACTTATTTTTATTTTTATTTTTTTAGCTAAGTTAGTTTATACCTCTCTTTAGTAAAAGGGGGAATGGAGAGAAAAAAAAAGTTTCGGAAGAAAATTACAATGCATTTGCCACTAGAGTTTGCCTTTTCTATATTTTTAGTTTAATTAAGATCTTTTGTGAATCAATAAAAGGTGAAAAAAAAAGTTTAGTGTGGGAGGGAGGGGAAAGGGGAATGAAAAAAGTAAAAGTACATTTAACTGATGAAAGAGATAAGCTATTTGCTGATAATAATGTATATAGTAATATCTTTGTCTTGACTGATATGTATGGTATTTGTGCTGGAAAAAGAAATGTACACTGTAAAGAGATAGGTGATTAAATGTAAATTTTTTAAAAAGCAATTCTGTTTACACATGCCCCCCAAAAATAAAATGCCTAGGAATACATTTAACAAAGGAGGTGAAAAATCTCTATAAAGAAAACCTTAAACCACTGATGAAAGAAATCTAAGAAGACACACACAAAAAAAAATGGAAAAACATCTCATGTTTGTGGATCGAAAGAATCAATATTGCTCAAAAACATCCATACTACAAAAAGTGATGTAGTATGGAAGTGAAGAGTCAACATGATACTTTCAAAAAACTAATGACATGGGCCAGCAAGCGATGTGGTGGTTAAAGTGCTAGACTTCCACATGGCCACCCATGGCTCAAGTCTCAGTCCTGGCAGCTTGCTTTCTCACTTTCCCTCTCTTTTTGGAGAGCACTCATGCCCTATAGCAAATTAATGATAATAATAATAATAATAACCAAATTAAATTAAATAAATAGTTCTTATTAAAAATACCAATATCATTCTTCACAGAAACAGAAAAAAATAATCATAAAATTTGTATAAAATCATAAAAGGCCCTGAATAGCCAAAGCAATCCAGAGCAGAAATGATGGAGCTGAAAGCATCATACTAAATTTCAAAATATGCTCTAAAGGGCTGGCCTGAGAGCTCAGTGGATAAAGGCTGTGCAGAGGGAGCTGGATCCTACGTGGCCGACTGTGGTTTGAAAATCAGCCCTGATGGTTTGAAAATCACACTGAGCCTGAGTGCTCATGTGTCTAGGAACCTACAAGATAGAGAAATGAAGGAAAAATTATCGTAAATAACCAGGTCTCATGGGAGGCTGGCACATTCTGT